TGCTTCCTTCAAAGTAGCATCCTTTATAAGGTATTTTGAAGAGTCAAAATTAATATGATAACCTTTATCACATAATTGACTAATGCTAAGCAAATTATGTTTGATGTTATCAACTAGTAAAACATTTCAATTTTAGGAGAAGAGTGATTACAAATATCTTCGATTACAATGATTCTTCCTTTAGCATTGTCAGCGAATGTCATATGACCTCAATTCTTTTCCTTGAAGTTTGCTAGTAGCTTTCTATCTCCAGTCATGTGTCTTGAACATCCATTGTCCAAGATCCATTTGTTTTTTACTTTCTTTAATACCTACAAAAGTAATTCAAATTTTGACTTTTGGCACCCATACAAACTTGGATCCTTGGTAGTTAGTATTTGTGGATTTTTGAATCCACTTATATTTTCTTTCAAAGTATAACTTCTTTTTGGTTAAGCAATTCAATGCAACATGTCCATTTTTATTGCAAAAAATACATGTAAGTTTTGAAGTGGAAGAATTTGAAGATTTAACAAATATATTTTCAAGAGACTTTTGCTTCAAAGAAACGCATCCAATCCCTCTTTTATAAAAAACACATTTTTGATTTTTAATCATTAAATTAAAATTCTTCTTTCCTTGGGAAAATTTGTAAATAATTTTTGTCAAGTCCTCAATCTTTTCCTTTAAAAGAGAGTTTTCTTTGATCAATAAATCGTAATTAAAATTTTCTTTTTGTTTTTCCGAAATTTTCTTTTCTTATTCTTTTAATGAATAATTTTTCTTTTTAAGAATGGAGTGACTTAATGCAAGATTTTCAAATTCTTCAAGCATTTCATCGCAGGAAATTGACAATTCATCATATGAACATTAATCAATAGAATTTACCTCATCTTCGATGGCCATGAAGCACATATTGACAGTTTCATCTTGACTATCATTTTCGTTTTAATCATCATCACTTTCATCCCTTGTAACTTGTGATGCCTTTTTTATGTTCTTTCTTTTGTTTGGGCATTCGGTCCTCTTGTGACCGAGCTTGTCACAATCGTAGCATATGATTTTCTTGCTTTTCTCTTCAACTTTTTCATCATTCTTTTGAAATTTTCGATTGTTTCGAAAGCCCCTCCATTTTTTAACAAGACGAACTAAATCATCAAGCTCTTCATCACTCATGTTGTCACTTGTTGTTCCCTCTTCAATTGCCGACTTTAAAGCTATTTGACGTTTAGATGATTCTTTTGATTCCTCTTTACTTTTTTTTGTCTTCTCCTTGACCTCGACATTGTCGAGCTCATAAGTCATCAATGTTCCATAGAGTTGTTTCAAAGGATATGTATTTATATCTTTGGTATTCTCTATTAACATTCTCAATGGGTCCAATCTTCGGATAGGGATCTAAGCATTTTGCTCACAAGTTCAACATTAGTATATTTTTGATCAAATCCTTTTAAACCATTTATAATGTTGGTAAAACGAATAATCATATCAACAATAGGTTCATTTTGTTTCATGAAAAAATTTTCAAATTCCTTAACCAAAATATTAATTTTGGTTTCTTTCGCTTTGCAAGTACCCACATGAATAACTTCTAATGCATGCCAAATATCAAATGCGGAATCACATGACAATTTTCTTTTGTCTTCATCATCATATTTTTCTCTAGATTTGGGAATAGTTTGGTCGGGTCTTCCATCAACCTTGATAGTATTGGTAGGCATATAAGGATCACATTCGATGATTTCCCAAATGTTATAATCAAATGAATTGAACATAAATCATCATCCTAACCTTCCAATAATTATAGTGTGTTCTATCAAAAGAAGGAGGTCGGTTTGTGGAATGTCCCTCAAGATTTTGAAACATCGGGTTAGCAATTTCTCAATATTTTAAAATATTTTTTAAAAAAGTACATTGCTCTGATACCAATTGAAAGCTCAAGATTGACTAACCAAGAGAGGGGTGAATTGATTTTTAAAACTTTTTTGAAAATTAATTCTAGATATATCTATTATACAAATACGAAATTGAATAATGAAAGTAATATAAAACATAAGTAAAAGGGATGGAGAGTGCAAACAATTTAATAGGAGCTTCGATCCAACTCAATCGATCTACGTTCTCCATTACCAAGTTCTCCATCACCAGCAAGGCTTTTTTTACTATATTGATTGACTTATGGTGTAATCCAACCCTTTTACAAAGCTTACGGTGACTTACAACCAAGGAGCACCGATCATTTTACATTGTTGATCTTTACGGGACTTCAACACGACCCACAAGTTTAAATTTACAAATTGAAACTTTTCTCTCAATAAATAATATATCAAAGTTGAGTATAATGAGAGAAAAATAGGCT